CATATAAAAATTGGCCACTGGCGATTTAATAAATCATAACATATTTATCGGATCCTGGACGTTTGGATATAGAGTATTAAGCAACTTGAACCATCCTCACTTTAAAATTAATTCCTTTTTTGGAAAAAGATATTGTTTTTAAGCCCAAAGTGTCTAGTTCCGTTACTATTTTTTAGGAAAATATAGTGGTCTTTAGTCCATCAGATGCCCTCAGGCAGTGGACTATTTTTAATTTAATGGAATCGTGTGAAAACAGAATATATATTGAATGTGCGCTTTCTTTTCGACGCCCATAYTACAAGGGTGCGCGGAAGTTCGCATACTCATTATTCAGTGTATATATGGTTATACCGGGGAATTTAACGTTTGATTGGTGTTAAAATAAGACATTTCCCCGGTAGTCGGGACACATTCATTGTTAAAATGTTGCCCCGCTATTTTGTTCTACTAGTAAATAACAAAACAAACACCTTAAACCAAATTTTCTGTGATCTACACAGGGTTAATTTTTGTATAATCGTGTGTACTCATTTGCGTACTACATGAGGCCATTGATTATTCCAGCTGGCTTTAGGATAACCAAGAATATCTAGCAAAGATCACAGTCAAAATAGCACCAAATAAGGGGTTTAAACGACTCCTTTTTTTTACAGTACAGCATAATTTGTGAATTGTTGAGCCTATTTACGAGGACCGGAACGTAGTTTAAAAGATAGTTTAGTGAATTGAAGGCTTAATGTAACTAAATTTGAATTAGTGCTGAATGCGTCGGCGGTTTCTAATGAATTACAATTGCGAAAAAAAGTGAAGAAGTATTTTAGTACAGTCGGAGGTATTTTAAAGACGCCGGTCTACTGAAAACTCCTAAAAAKCACACAGAACATTGTTACATAACATCAACGCCGATACATGAGATTTAGGTCATATGTTTTTTAAATTAAAATAAAAATTGAATGTTTGAAGATTTTGGAGATGCATTTGCCGGAACATTTATGTGTTGTTATTATATGTTTTCACAAAACGGACCTAAATTTCATTTTTAATTTCTAATTTATTTTCTGGGAAAAGGTTGGTTTTGGAGTCAACAAAAGGATAGAGTAAATGACGTCACTTAATCGGATTTTTTTCCAAAATTATTACGAATTCGTACCAATAGACAGTTCTAATCGAATTTCAAGCCTTTTCCAAGGTTGGGCGGAAAGCTCATCCAAGTGTCCCTGAATCAAATTCATCCTACATGTTTTTTGGCACAAATGCTCAAACATTCATAGTTCCACAATATATCTTGTTGAAACAGTGGCGTCGCAGCCGTTTTTACGTGTGGGGACTTACACATTGAAACTCGAAAATTAAAAGCATCATGACGATAGTTTATAGAGCTTTGAAAAAGCTGGGGGCTACAGTCCCCCTACAGCCCCCAGCCTGCGCTCCTGTAAAAAAGTGTAAACCAGCTGTTGGTCGCACTGTAAATGTGATAATAAATCTTTTACTAAATAAATTACTTTTACGACGTCAATTAACGTGATGTTAAAATGCTCCGGTATTTTTTTTCCGGTATTTTTTTTTCTTGTGTCTCTTTTCAGTCACAGATATTGTGAATTTGAGACTTTACAACATAGTGCCTGTTTTCATGACTCAGATGAGTTTAGTACTTTTACCACAAGTGAGCTGAATACACTCTCATGAAAGACCCT